GATTTGTGACTTGCTACTGATAAAGTGGTTAAACTTCACCACGGCTACATATGAACACTACTTAGTTAATCCGTCCTAGGCCATTGAGGTGTCACGATCGGGTGCATGGCGTACTCGTTAGTGGGACTGAGCCCCCTGTTCTCGCGGCGACGCTTCTTTCTCGCGTATAAAGCCACACCGGCGATACCCGCAACCGCAACAAAGCTGCCGATGACAGCAACCCACACTTCTTCAGAGTTGTCCCTGCTAGCCGAGTCAGCGCTGTCTGCTGCTGCAAACGACACCGTCTGAGATTCCCCTCCACTCGTATAAGCTGTGGTGGACTCCACCGTTTGCTCAGATTGCTGGTACTGCCATTGACCGCCCTGGTTGTACGGGGGCTTCGAATTATTTGAGGGAGAAGAGAGTTTCGGAGTCTTTGGACTTGGAGTTGGCTTAGGAGTCTTCGGGCCTGGCGTATAAGGCTCCTCCGTCGTCGGTGCCGGTGTCGGCTCGGGCGTTGTAGGAGCTGGCGTGGGTTCCTCCGTCGTCGGTGCCGGCGTTGGTTCGTCCGTGGTCGGGCCTGGCGTATAAGGCTCCTCCGTCGTCGGTGCTGGGGTTGGTTCCGTAGATGGAGTTACTGGAATATCAGTTGAAGGCATCTGTGTAGTAGGCTCCGAGGTGACGGGTGCCGTCGTCACTGGAGTCTCTGTAGTTGGCTCTGGCGTCACCGGCGCCGTTGTTACTGGGGTTTCCGTCGTTGGCTCCGGGGTAGTCGGCGCAGTCGTCACTGGGGTTTCCGTCGTTGGCTCCGGGGTTGTCGGCGCAGTCGGTGGAGTCTCTGTAGTTGGTTCTGGAGTCCCCGGCGCCGTCGTCACTGGAGCCTCTGTAGTTGGCTCTGGAGTCCCCGGCGCCGTCGTCACTGGGGTTTCCGTCGTTGGCCCTGGCGCTGATGGCTCTGTTGTCGCTGGAGTTTCCGTCGCTGGCTCCGGAGTAGCTGGCGAAGTTGTCGCCGGAGTCTCTGTGCTTGGCTGTGGTGTTGTCGGCGAAGTTGTCGATGGAGTCTCTGTGCTTGGCTCTGGAGTAGTGGGCGACGTCGTTGACGGAGTCTCTGTACTTGGTTGCGAGGTAGTAGGCGTCGTCGTCGATGGAGTCTTCGTCGTTGGCTCTGGAGTAGTCGGCGACGTCGTTGATGGAGGCTCGGTCGCTGGGTTCTCCGTTATTGGAGACTCTGTCACTGGTGCTTCCGTCTCAGGTGACTCAGGAGCAGGCGTCTCCGTCACTGGGGGCTCTGTCCCCGGCGTATCAGTCACTGGCGATTCTGTCGATGGAGACTCAGTCGGTGGGGCCTTGGTCGAGGGAGATTCCGTCACTGGTGACTCCGTTATCGGGGCTTCGATGACCGGAGTTCCGGTTGAAGGAGGCTCCGTCACTGGCGTCTCGGTTGGCGGGGACGCCGTCACTGGAGTCTGTGTCGCCGGCGTCGCGGTCTCGGGTGCGCTCGTGACCGGGGCCTCGGTAGTGTCCGGTACTTCTCCGCAGTCGTACAGCTCCGTCACCGTCGTGGTCTGCGTGAACCAGCTCTCGTCATAGTCCTCGTTGCCATCGAAGGCAGAACTCGTGTCAATACTTTCCACCACGTCGTCCTTTCCATCGAACTCCCATGTCGGGCAGCTTCCGTCCTCCTCAATCGGCACTGTCGCTGCCGGTGTTGCCTCTGGTGTACTGCTTTCGTCTCCACAGCCAACGGACGGCAACACACAACCCCAAGTGGATCCAGTGACGATGCGGCATTCAGCGTCTTCGGGTGCGACGCAGGACCCGTCCAGATAGGATGCGAGATTGTTATGACAGTCTGCCACAGCCACGTCGCCTCGTAGTGGGCAGGCCGTGCCTGCAGGTGCAGAACCCGCACCTGAACACAGGGCTCCTCTGGACTCTGATAGCGCATAGGTGGCGTCACCGCATACACTCACGTCCAGTGCGGCTACACGCTGCATGCCCAGCGCCGCGAGGCCTAGCACGAGCGGAAGTTGCATACCTCGCTAAAAACGTGGCAATGAACAAATGAGTGGCAAAACGCTCGGAATCGAAAGTGACGCGGCCACTTCGGCAGTCGGTGCATTCCACACGAACCAACTTGGTTCCCGAACGGGCAAATAATCGCAGAATCAAGCCGGGGTATACCACACCTGTAATATGTAATAAGTTTAAAGTCCAAGAAAACGGTGCCGTTAGAAGCTTTTGTTCGCCATGCTTACGAGAAACGTGACATTTTATATAGATCCATAATTGATACGATTAGGTTTAAAAATGTGTATAGAGCTTTAAGCTTTCTGGTCCTCGTAACAACGTGGTTGATTGTGCAATTTATGAACACAACCACAGGCAGTCCCTGTTGGATGTGATATCTGAGTTTCTTGCTGACACTGATCACTCAATCACTACGCTTATTGTAAACTAACTGTCGCTACTACTTAAGTAAATATGGGCGATCGGCATTGGGTACAGTTTAGACTGTTTGTCTAAACGTGTAGTAGCGGAGACGAAGCACGAGCGTCAGGCACATTGCTCCGAGCTGGAGCAGCTTTGGAATTTATTAGAGACTAACCACGACAGAAAAATAAATGGCAGCCAGCAATGCCCCAACGGCTAGTTGCCGTTGTAGTGGCGACAGCCACTCAATATCCAGCCCCGCTGGGCCAGTTATACGCGGACTCTACTCACAACTCGCAGCTTTGAAAGCGATTTGGATCAACAAAACAACTCGCAGCTGTGAAAGTGATTTGGATCAACCGGCGAAGTTTGATGCCGTGCGATATTTCTTAGTCAAGTCATTATCACGTATTAGCCAGAGGGCACCATCAAGGATGACTTGCGTTTTTGTTGCTTCACATCGACCTCCGAAACAAAGTTCACGGTGCATGGGCCAGCTATGCGCGGTCTCCACTCACAACGTGCAGCTTTGGAAGTGATTTTGGATCAACAAAACCGAAAGTCATCCTTGATGGTGCCCCCTGCCGAATACGGGTACGTGATATCGACTTGACTAAGAAATATCGCACGGCGGACAAGATATCACATTTATCTTCGATAGCGTTTGATTCAGAAAGCGTCAAACTTCGACAGTCGCTTCTCATCGACCTCCGAAACGAAGTTCACGGTTGCAACTTGAAGCTCGGTTCGTATACCATCTCACGCCAATGTATCGTGGGTATTTATTTCATAAAATATGAACGGCAAAAGATTATGGCCTGCACTCCGTATGTGTATCTTCTGTTTACAGGCACTAGCTCCTATGGTCATTGCAGGCTCGTCGTGTGAGTGGAGCTACAGCGGGAGAAGTGTTGGTTGGTAAATGCTTCAGACTCGTACTCACTCAGGAATGTCGTTCAAGATGGACGAGATGGAGCCACGCCTGCCGTTTCGGTGGGTCGTGGTGGATGGTCGTACGCTTGTGGAGCTCGCGCCGGTGCCTTTATCCCGTCCGCGTCCGTGTCGTCGATCTCCGCGAAGTCGTCTCTCAGGTACACTTTGACTACGCAAACGGGTCATGGAGGGTAATTCGTCGTGTCGGGGGATCTTGATGGGCGGTGGCTGGTGCGCATGAAGGCCAAAGGATGGTTTGCGCTTCTTCGTTCGGGAGATCTCGTTTTCAACAATCGCGTTGCGCTTTACTCCGACGACTTCCTTGGTTTCAGTCTTTGTCGCTGTGGATTTCATCTTCTTCCTCTTCTTGGCAGCGCCACTGTCTGTTTGAATGTTATCGTTGCCGTTGCTCTCGTCGTCAATAGGTATCTCCGCTGGACCCACCATCTCGTCCGTGATCTGGGCAACTGGAAACTCGTCCTTGACCTCAGTGACAATCATCTTTTCTACCTTACTGGGAACCTTGGCGTCGGTCTGTGCCTTGCGGCTCTTCTCGTTTGGGTTCTGGATCACAGCTGATAACTCTTCGCGTAGACCGGCAATTTGACCTTGGAAACGCTTCCGCTCAGCACCTGCTGCGTTGCTTGCCAGCACTTGCAACGATGTGATACGATTAACAAGACTACGAATGCGTCTGTGTGGCCACCGGACGAGTCCGTTGCGACGACAGATCTTCTTCATCAGCGTGATACACACACCCAGCTCCTTTGCAACTACTGCCATTGGTTTGTTGAAGTGCGGACGTAACTCGTTGAGTGTCAGATCCTTCACATTGATGACCCCGCCAGTGTGTGGCATAGGTGGCATCATTGGCTGCTTGATCATGTTTGTTGGGCTGCTACTGGGAGCTAGGAACATGCTCGGGTCACTCGAGACCATAATGTCACTGAGGGTCACAGCGGTGGGCGTCGGAGGGTAGCCAGGATTCATCCCCGAGGCATTTGGCGGTTGTTGCATCATCATTTGATGAGGATTGATACCCATTGGGGCTCCAGACATGTACAGTGACGACAAACTGGACCCGTGAATGGGGGACATCTGAAGCGGGAGGCCATGCTCCAGTTGTTGCTCTAGTTGCTGTTGCTGCATTTGGAGGTGTTGCTGTTGGGCTTGTAGCTGCATGTACGGCGTCACAAGACCCGTTCCGCCCGCCAAAGGATCCATCTGGTTCGCGGGCTGCGTCAACAGTGCGTACATGTTTTGCGGGGCTTCGTAGGACCAGGCGTCGGAGATGAATCTCGAGTCGAACTGCAGGTCTTTCATAACGGTGGGGGACACAGGCGAGACAGAGTCGCAGCTCATGTTGGGCACCGGGAGACCATCGCTGGGTTTTGGTAGTCCAGATTCGTCGATTGTTGCGACGGTGTTGCTTGTGTGGACGACGGTGGGTGATGTCTCCACCTTGAGACTGGAGCCTCCGGGCGTTGTAGGTTTGGTACGGAGCGGCTGGAGACTCGAATCGGGCCACGTCAGGCCGGATTTGGAGACTTCCGCGGGTGCGACGGGCTTGTTCTCGTCCATGGTTGACGCGACCTTCATCATGGACGACAACACAGAAGGCGCCATGCGCGGGCTGCTCTCGGGCCCGGTCACGGCCAGCTCAGGCGCGCGTTGCTGCTCCATCTCGGCTGCCATTTGTCGTAGTGCGTGGGCTAGACGTCAAGATCTTGTCTTGCGCGCAGCAGTGGAGTGGCAGACGTCCATCAGCCGCGCCAGCGCAGCTTGTAGGAGGTGCGAGAAAGCAGGCAAAAAAATCGAAGAAATCTTTCTGTAATTTCTCTCAAATTTAGTGCGACCCTTCGAATGGTGTCGTCAGAGATGCCCACGCTGATTGGGCTAAAGTCGGAGCAGACCAATCTGATTGGCCCGAGCCGCTCAAGAAATCTTTTCAAGCCTCGTCTATGCCAAATTTAAGAAATGCCTGTAGGATTTCAAGATTTCAGTTTCGTTATGAACTTCGTGCAGCGATCAAGTTCACGTATCCTAAGAGCGCCCCCTAATGTACTCCACGTTGTGCCTACCAGAGGCTCTGGTCCAGAGCAGCTCGAGAAGTAGACAGTGCGCTGCAGTGCGACAGCCTTCAGGCGTTGCATCAGATTGCGCGTCGTTCGTATGCAGTATTGGGTCACGTTCACAGATTGTGCGTACGAGCCTTTCCTCTGATGGCTTCAAACCAATGACGACTGGCAAATTTGCGGCGCTCCATGCAGGTTGAGCTGCCGAGGGTGCAACTTGCGCTTATAGTACACCATGCAAGAAGTGGTTGGCGCTCGAGCTGCTAGATCTGTCGCTATGTCTCCGCTATTGGTATTATTATAGATCCGAACAAACATAATCTAATTTCAACAGCGGACATCAACCACTTCAGTCTACACTTGGCATGATCGCGTGTCGATACATGTACTGCTAACGCTGTTCGTGGCGATACCCTTTCGCTGAGGTCTTCCAAGCCAATCGCTTGCAGTGACCGATTCGGCATGGCCTTTCGGCAGCCGAAACGAGGCGGCTTGGCTCCGCCATGAAAGTTAATTGGGGCCGGAAATGACCAACAGATATGACGGAGACGAAGCCCCAAGCCACGAGTGTGTTGAAGTCACATGTCAAGAATGCTCGGTCCGACCTCTTTCCTGTCTGAACAAGTCGATGTTTGTTCACCTGCGCTGCTGAACCGAGAAATCCACCATCAGTATTTTTTTTAGCCCACGTAGTACCGGAGCTCCAATGTTTTGAAGCACCTTGTGGCCCCCGGTATCCCTCGAACTGGAAGAGCTCCATCGACCGTAGAGCCTCACGGACCAAGACGTTTCAGTGTCACCAGGCACTTCCCCAGCTTCGCATGAGAAATCGCCCATACGGTGGGTACGGCGGCTTCGGTCGGGCGGCATCAGCGTCATATAATTTTTTGTTAGACGGTGTTGTAGTCAACAGCAAAAGGTCCACAGTGGCACAGTTGTTCAGTTAAGCTATCCATCTCAATGTGGACGCGGAGCTATTCCGACCTCGGATCCTTCAAGTTGCGGTCGCTACGGCGCTTGTTACTGCATTGAAAGACCATAGTTCACCATTCAATTCAATTGGGCGTGTGTTAAATTATACACTGTGACACGTTCACGGCGAGGAAGCGGTGCGGGACACACACAAATCACCACTGGCGACAGTTCAGTGTCAATGGTTTTCCTGGACGAGCCGAGTGGTGACCTTAACGTACTCACTCAAGTCACTCTTGGCATGGCAGTAGCTCCTCAACGAGACCTGCCGCTGTAGCAGTGCTTCCTTCCAAAAATTTTGATGCAGTCTTGCTGAACGCTCATGCCTGTTGCTGTCGGCGAAACCGAGCAGCTCCCGGCCATTTGTAGCAGAAACGTGTCTCCACCTGCTTTCCTCTATGCCGGCACTGCACAGCTGATTGACCCCGTCCCCCGCCGCAGCAGCGGCAGTTGGCTAGCCACTGGCCCTCAACTCAATTGTCAACCTGCTCCGCGCGCCAGAATCCTCGAGGCCCATGCCATGCCCAGTGGTTCCAGTGCAGGTAGCTCCTCGTTGCCCTCGTCCTTCTCGTCCAGCGAGCACAAGAGCGACTCAAGTTCTGCCAACAGCCAAGTGCTACTTCCACAGCCATCGAGCGCAGCTCCACCCAGGACAACAGACCAGCTGATTGAGCTGTCTGTATCATCCGAGGAGATCGCGGACTGGAGGCGACGACACCAACAAGCTCAGACAGAGCCAATGCCGTGGCCCGGTCGCACCCGCAGCGTCTTGCGTCGATACTCTCCGTTGGTCCCTCCTACGGCGTTGCTCATTGCGCTGGTGGTGCTTCTCGTACAAGACCTTGCGAATGCGAACAGTAATGCTGACTCATCAGATTTGCCTAGCGAACCCATCGCACCGATATTGCAATGGGGTGCCTGCTCGCTGGACAACGTCGTCGCCAGCGCTTATAACCTCTCAGCGCAGTGTGCAGCCGTGACACTTCCGCTGTGCTACGATGATATCTGCGAGACGGAAGACGCCAACGCCTCCATTATCGTATCATTCAAGCGAATACCTGCAATTGGAACAAACGCCACCGGTGCAAGTCCACAAACCGTTTGGTATCTCCCGGATCGACCAGATTTCCAGACAAGTGAAGAAGCGGAACTGCAGATGACGCTCTTGTACGAAGAGCTGCGTGGCGACACTGACATCTACACCCTCAATTTGCGTGGCAGCGGTAATAGCACAGCTCTCTCATGCAATTCATCCGACGGATCTCCACTGCAGACGGCCATATTTAGCCGAAACGATGGCGTTCTAGATCCAAACGACGTATGGGTCTGTATTAATCGACTCTATGATTTGGGACACACCAATCTCAGTGCATTTTCGCTGGCCAGCGCTGCCCGGGATATCGAAGCGGTTATCAGCCAGTTCCAGCCTGATTCGCAGGCTATCGTGTATGCACTCGGCTACGGAACACTCGTGGCCCAGCAGCTCATGCAATGGGGTGTCGCGCAGGTCGTCGGCTACGTTTTCGACGGTGCACCGGGAAGCTTTGAAGACACAGCATCAAATCAAGTTTCCAAAAGTGATGAAGACTTCGGAGAGGTAGCCAACGAGTTCCTCGTTTGGTGCCAGGGTGATTCAGATTGCTCCAAAATGTTCTCCGATTTAAGCTCAACCACAACGCTCAACGCGACACTATTAGAAGTGTACACTCGACTTGATGCCGACAGAACTTCAATGTGCTCCATGATCCTCACGGAAGTCGATACAAGCGGAAGCAGCAATTCCGCTACAGATTCTACGACCCCGCCGTCGTATGTACTTCGCCAATTGCTTGGAGTGATGATAATGGATTCGACCTTGTGGCCGTTCATTCCTGTAATTGCCTACCGCTTTCATCGGTGTGGCTCCGAAGACCTCACGCTTCTCTCGCAGTTTGTGAACTCAGCATTCGAAACTGGTAACGACGCAGAGACCCCGGAACTGCTGTTTGCGATCCAGACCTTCAGTGAACTATGGGAGGCGCCGTCCCCCGACCAAACTGAGCTGCTGGAACGGTTCACCGACGCTACCATCAGTTCTGGTCGAGTATATACTCAGCTAGAGGCTTACTGTTTGTTCACTGGCGACACCTCCGACGCATGTAGCAACATCAACTCATCAGCATCGAGCTCTTCGTCGATCGGGACGCTATCATACTCGACGAACAGCAGTGCACTTGATATTCCGTCTGAAACCAGCGTACTGTTGCTGAGCGGAGGACTGGATGCACTCTCGCCGCCCAAATACTCCACAGCGCTATTCAACGCCTTTCAGGCCGATAACAAAGCACTCCTTGTTGCTCCGAAAGCCACGCACGGTGTAGTCCAATCGGCTTTGTTATCGAATGGAGCCGCATGCGGTCGCAGCGTGCTGGTATCTTATGTGCGCAGCAGCGGTAACCTGACTGCGCTCGACATGTCGTGCATGGCCGCACTGCCTACACCGAGTCTCGCCATCTCCAACACTTCGAGTCTGTTAGTGCTTGGCGTGGAAGACGCGTACGACGGGGTGCTTGTGGTGACCAACAGCAACAGTGGCAGTGCCGGCGACTTGACCGAAAGCGGCAGTTCCGAGAAATCGGCGACATCGTCGGGATCGACCTCGGACGAGTTAATCCGCCGCATATCGGCACTTAAAAGTTCTAGACGTCGCTACAAAGTTGCTCTGATCGTAGTGACGAGCGTGCTCGGAGCCGTGCTGATCACAGGTGCAATGATATTGATATACCGTCGTCGTCGAAAACAGCAGCTCGCCGGTGAGGAGGAGATGCTGCGGCGCATGCGTGGCGACGAAGAAAACGAGCTTGAGCTCGTACGAAGCATCTACTTGCTCACGTCCGACTCCCCCAGCAGCGGTGAGCGCGCGGTGACTGGACGGGTGGCGTGACTGTATCAACATAATGTTATTTAACTCGTACATGCAGACCTTGGACCCCAGCAGCGTTGGGCCTCGTACACTAGAATAATTCCAGACACTAGCTAATACAAGTTGTTTTGTCAAAGGTCTACGCGATTCTGGTTCAGAAATGAAGTTTATGGTGCTGTATCTATCTGAAGGCAGCACGTCCGGCACCCTGATCGATCATCCTGCTCACACGCACGTGGCGGCAGCGTACGACCGGCACGCTCGGCGGGATATCCGAAGTCAGTAGCGCCAGCTTTAGAGCCGATTGGCAAAACACGTTGGGTTTCGAAGTTCCAGCCTGGAGCTTGATTACTTGATTAAGGGTTAACGTAGTTCCAGAACTGAAATTGGGCCCCTGCTGCATCACCAGAAACGCGGGAGTCGAGTGACCAGCCCAATAATGCCATTTCTACTCAGCAGCGAGACGAGATCATCAGCTCAAAATTTGAGCCTCGAATGAGAGGGGCTACCCCGGTTAGCCTTCCTGTCATGGAGTTGTTATTCGGGTTATCAGTAGAATGTCTCCCAACAATGCGAGCCACGGAGAAGTACCAAGGTATTGGTCTCCGGTAAACTGTCACTGACATCTGGTTGTTGAGCAACATACAGCGCGCGTGGCTGTTTTACACCAGACCAAAACGTTTTTGGTAAAAACTGACAGGAGTCCCATCACCAAGGTGGTACAAATTATCAATACGAGCAAGAGATGCTCGAAGCAAGCACGCCTCAGGGGCGCCTCTGGTGAGAAGCGATCTTTGCCGTCGAGGTCAAATGGATGAAACTCTAGTTACGAAAGGTAGTAGTTGCTTGGAGGCAAAACTGAAGCAGCGAGTGAAGAAAAAAAAAGTCGTATCATGCTCGTTTCGTTGTGCCTATAAACAACCATAAAAGAGCGCCTTGATTCAAAATTGTCAGATGCTCAAAGAGAGAAGTAATAGCTTGTGCCTTTCCGGTGTGAGCCTATTACTTCTGCAGTATTATACCATAAGCTTGCATTTCTCGCTGCTGTCGACTGCTGAATCAAGCTGTTGGCAGTGGACAACTCGACAAGGTGAAGCCGCCTCTCTACCGGCCTTGAAGTCTACCACTAAACAGGCCGTTTAGTTTTAAACACTGCCGTTAATACCGATACAGCTTCTCGATTCAAATTCCTCCACTTCACTCACTACTGCAGAAAAGAAGCTCTGGAATATTATCACAAAAAGAGAAACTCGACAACCATCGATTTCATCTGGTCAGCTTTAGCAAAATACTGTTTTATATTAAATCTGTAAATTACGCAAAGGAAATAACGTTTTTTCCTGACGTCGAGTGCCTATTTTGAAATAGGCACCAGTTCAGAAAGGATCTGGAAAAAAAAAAGCTTTGACAGAATTTATTGATCGTAATACAAAATTTAAATTACGACCAATAAATTCTGTCAAGACGAGAGAGCGTCCAAATTGGGGGACAAGGGACCAGACAGGTCTCTCGTCTTGATTCCTTTTCTAACAAATCGCCCTCTCTCTCTTCGCCTTCTGTTCCCTCACTTCAGAAATTCACAGGTAGAAGCAAAACGCAAGCCGCGCAGCAGCAATCAGCAGAGCCCCTAGCTTTGCCTCGCTGCGCTCGCTTGCATCTTCTTCCTGATCCACTCCTCCGTCGCCATGATGGCCTGGCCGGAAGAACCGCAGCCCCATAATGGTAACGGCGAGTGGCCCGACGCAGAACTGTTCGAGTCCGCCAACTTCTACCCGTCCGACGCCAGTGATGAGCGGGCACAGCATGGTGCCAACAACTTCCTGAACACCGCCAACCAAGACACTGGAGGATCTGCGGGCCTTACATACTCAGCGTCATGCCCGTCATTCTCAGGGATGGACGACACCGACGAGTTTATGGGCGGGACTGCTGGTGGCAATGGCCTCATGCCCTACCCGTTCGACTCGCAGGAGCCACTCATGGATGCATTGGGCCAATCTGAGGACACATCGTTCCCTAACGACAAGAACTATGACATGCTGCTGCAGTTCCAGCAGGAATACCAGAACTCCTCGCAGCGCCAGTTCCCGCATCAGCAAGTGATGGGGCACCCCATGGACTTAATGCAACAGCAGCAGATGTCCGGAGGAAGACGCGGCTTCCACGGCTCGCAATCATTCACCAGTCTGTCCAATATGGAATCCGAGTATAACCGAATGAATGGTGCGGCGTCCTGCGATCTTGAACTCGTGCTTGGTGCTGAAACGGCTAACACAGTATGTATGTGGTTGTGAACAGCTAATAGCAAGAGAAAGAAAGGAACCGAGCGATGGATGAAGCTGCAGCGTCACAAATCCTTTGACTCCTCGACGCCCATTTCGGATTCTTTTAGCTTTGATCCCAATGCGACTTTTGGCAGCGCGTTCGGGTCATCGAACCCCACGCCCGACCAGCTGCTCCAAGAGTGCGTGTTGCTTGGTATTTCGCTTATGAGTGCTAATGCTGAACTAACTTGTAACTCGGTAATGATGTGCAACAGACCACCGGATAGTGACATGATTGGATTCTCTATTGACGACTTCCCACCTTCGATCCAATCCAATGACCCAAATTGGCCTCCAGTCGCGTATGGATCCGCACCGAGCGCTATCGGTGGGAATTATATGCAGCAGGCGCACCAGAAGCGTCACCAGCAGCAGCAGCATCATCATCATCATCATCATCATCAAGCTTCTATGCAGTCATTGAGTGACGCTAGTGGTGATAATTCGGTATCCTCATCGGCAGAAGTCGAACCTGTGTCGG